ACCACTTACTGAACGTGTCCGACATCCAGATGTGAAAAAGCAATCTGCACAGCCTGGACTTACGAAATGTGTAGAGTATAGTTGCTTCTGCTGAACATAGTGGAGGAACTAGCCGACCTCTTGAAGTCCCTTCCAAACCTACATTTTTATGATTCCTTGCCATGAGTACCTCTGCCTGGTGTGTCTCTTTCGCCTCTCAAGGATCAGGATACAAGTCTATACATTCTGCAGGGGGCAGATCCCTTTCTTAGTCAGAGTCTCCATCTCTATATACCTACCCAGGGCCATTTGAAGGGTTTGAAGAACGTAGTTCTGGGAACGATTGTTACCTCTGGAAATAATGTATCAATTTAATATTGCACTGCTATATTTTTCAGTGATACCTGCATGTTCTGTGACTACAGAGTTTTCAAACAGCTATATCATAACAGTCTGTCGCAAGTGTATTGGGTGTTTCAGTTTGCCAGACCTGTCATAATAAATTAATTACAGGATGTTGCAGAAATGGCTAAGTTCCAGCAGCATCTTGCACAGTTTAATATAGCCCCATTTCCCCATTTCAATGTATTTGTGGTTAGATAAATCCTCAGAAAATTTACAGCTGCTGCAGACTAGTTTATTATACTCCCTGCCTGTGCAGAAGATATAAAAGTGTAACAAGAATTTGATGTCTTCTCGGTGCATAGATTTTGCTGATATTTCTTTACCGGTGTGGAAACTTTTTTCCGCTAAAAGTGGCATCTGCAGTTTCTACTCACGTCTGAGTATTAGACAGGAATTGTAAAACTGGTTGGCCACAGCCAACCATAGTGCAAAGTGCACAGTGACAAAATACAGCCAGGTGGTTGGAGTTTGTTAGATGAAATACAGAGGAGCCATCCGCATTTATCAGAGCAAAATGAAAATGCCGCCTTTTGAACCTGAAGGATTGCAAAGTGATGTGTAAACCATAACCCCACATTCTGCAAAGCTTTCCAGCCATGTGGAACCTGGCTCACACACTGCCCTCCCCTCTGATTTCACTGGGATTCTACTTGGGCACAGAGGTCTGCTCACATGAAATAGCTTTGCAGGATTAGGTCTCTTCCATCCCACCGTTGAGATGCAGCCAGCTCTGAGGAGTAAGGCAGCCTCCAACTGGCACACAGAAGATAGAACACAAGGAAGAACTATGGCAAAAAGTCCCAGATCTGGTCAGGACTAAGATTTCCAAGGTGCAGGCATTGTAGCAGACAAAGCTAGCCTTTGAGGCCCACCACTCAAGTGCCTATGTAGGGGATCTGCCAGGCCTGGGGCTGGAGGACCATGTCGGGGATAGGGTTAAGATACCAGGGCATGGGCACTTACTGGCAGTTCCCCTCTGAGTTTTGACAGGTGCCTCTCCAGCCCCTTGAGCATTCCAGGAGAGGGAGGCCACAAAGGCAGCTGAAAGCCAACATAGCCTGTTTCTCCGGGCTGTGAGTTCCACGCTGTGTCTCTTAGAGGTCTGGCACTGAATCTCCCTCATAATTTCTAAGGTTTAGTCTGAAGGACCTCAGCAATAGCCTGGGACTTAGCGTACACACCACAGAAGGATGAAGAGCTTGGTGAGATGATTAAAAGATTAAAAAACATGCCGGAAGCCACCAAAGCTCCATTATAATGAGCCTTTCCATGCTCTTCTGTTCCTTCTTCCCGAGCTCCAATTCTGAGTTGCTACAATCTCCTAAGCCTGCCCCAGGCAGCAGTTTTCTTCTCAAGATGCTCATTTGCCTCTTTCAAACCTCCTCTCCCTTTTATTCCTTACGCTCAGTAGTTCTGTTGCAAATGCACACATTGATACTTTTAAGCAATACAAACCTTTGAACTAATGCGGTATGTTTTTACAGGCACAGTTGAACATCCATAAATTATTTTCTCAAAAACATTTTAGGTAGTTTTAGGACAGAATGCAAAGCAAAAAATATGAAAGACCCTGTAAATTAACCTTTCATCTCCTTTAACATTCAGCAAATACATCTCATTCCCCCACTCCCCCCAACTTCCAGATTACAACTAATTTTTAAATGACTGTACCATAGGCATTGAAAGCATGCCCAATTTTATACTCTGTTAGTGATGTAACTTTTTCTGGCACTCTAGATAATCCCTTCAATTGAAGAGAGCATTTTTTTATGAAAATGAATAGTTAGGATAAGCACTAAATTGGTAGTTTAAATCAATGGTGGAAAACTAGTTAAGCTGTTACACCAGCCCTGTGGAAAACAAACAATTTAGTTGGAGAAGTTTAAAACTCCTTTGTTTTAAGCTGTTGGAGGCTGTACAATTTCAAACAAATAATACCAAGACAGAGATAATGTCTAACATGAATAGTATATGAAGACAAAATTTTAAACAGGCACAGATGGTGATGCAAAGGTAAATATAACACTGAAGTTCATACTAATTTCATAGACACTAAAAAGAATAATTTAAAATAATTTTGTGTTTACCAAACAAGTGTTTTTGCTTGAGCCTGTTCCCGCCTTATTTGAAGTATTTCCCATTCACCTTAATAATTAGAGCAGAAAGATGTGGTGAATGAAGTGCCTCATTATCAAGTTTGCATCCACAGTCACTGCAGAATGGCTACCATGCCGGCTATTTTTCATAGCTGTCTGCTTTTGCTTGTGTTGGACCATTGTTAACCCTAAATGATACTGACATTCAATTCTCCATCAGACAATCGGGTCCAGCCGGCAGATTTAGTTCACTAGTCAACAGAGACTTTCAATTGTCATGTTCTTCTGTGTTCTCATTAGCCCTTGTTTGACTGTGATCCAATGCCTACTGCCTTTTGAGATAAATGATGCTACAAATAAACTATTTATGTTTTATGATGTCCATTCCTTAAAGTGCTACTTCAAAACCCAAATGCAAATGGATAGTTAGGGGGGAATGCAAGGAAAAAATGAATTGTCTCTTCCTTTCTATTTTAATTGTTCACATTTGTATTGTTCATCATATCTTTGAGGAACCACAAACACATGATGCAGAAGGAGAAATATGTATACATTAAAAATATATAGTAGAACCCAAAAAGAAACTACTATATTCCCACTGTCCAGATAGTTATAAAATTCTGTAATATTTAACCTCCTTCATCATAGATTTCTACCTGCTTTGTTCCACCGTTATTACACTGACACTATGTGTACCGCTAATTCAAGGTTAAGTCTGTGTTTCCTGTAGAAACCCTTCATGCAGGTGTTTATAATTCTGTCATTCTGGACTGTAGCTTTTTAATAAACAAGATCACAGCTCACCCACATACTGGGATGTTTAATGTTTATCTATTAAAAAAAAGGGGGGAGAAGGAAAAACTTTCAGATCACTTGTGTAATCTGCATTGGAAATTTGGGCTCCCTCCTTAAATTAAGATTTAGTTCCTCTAAATGTCTGAAAGTTACCAAGTATATGAAGTTTACCATTTTTTAAAATAACTTTTTTTTTTGCTGCATTACCATGAAAAAAGCATCATGCTACACAAGGACACAAAGATTCACATCCAAGTTTAGTTTACTAAACTAATGCCCCTACTAATGCAGACTGACTTGAGACATAGACAACTTTTTTCTATTACTACAAGCATATTTAAAATATAAGCTGCATACCTGAAAAATCACTTTTTTGTCTATGGGTATATGTACATGTAAAACAAAATCTGAATGCCTGAGGGGAGAAGCGTTGCCATTTCTCAGACCTCAACACCACTGAAAGCAAAAATGAGATATTTGTAAATGAATGTATCAGCTACATTTCCAAAAAAAAAAGGCAAAAATTTCAAGTCCCTGATATTATGTGCTATTTTAAAAGATCAATAATCTTAATCCGAATCTTCTAAATTGGATATTGAAGTGTAGTTTTGTTAAATGCAATTTTTTCCTCTGAAGTAAATGCAGTTCCCTCTAACGCTGCACTGAAGGAATACAAAGCAGTAAAAGAATCTAACCTCCATGAGGCAGGGAGAAAAGGATAATGCAAATAAAGCCAGCTATTTTATAGTAATGAGAATAGTAACCCAACAATTTTTAAAAGTATATTTTCAGTTCCATAAATTTTCATGTTGGGTCTTTTATTTGATTTCGAACTGTGCCTTGTAAGACACTTCTTCTGCCTCTCTGCTCTCAATTTGGAAAGTGTGGCAAAAGCAGCTCTGTTCAGCTTCAGAGCAGTGAACATAATTGGAGCCCTAGTTCACAAGCATGAAAGGAAGCACTGTGCCTTTGATTAGAACAACCATTTCTCTCTGGTGTGTATGTGAAGTGTTATTTTTATCTTCAGCAGCCACAGTGCCAAATTATCATTTTACGAGGCTTTCCAAATGAGCACCCAGCGCTTGGCTACAGCTCTGCTCTCCCTGACGTGTAGCCTGATGTCATGCTCTGCCCTTTAAAAGTGACCAATGATATTTTAAAGTCATAAGAGGCTGAAGTTGTCCTTTTCTAAACATCAGATGCCACACACCTCACTGAACTGATAGCTGGGCTGTATTTCAACAGCAGACAAGAACCCAGCCTAAAATATGAAGCAATTTCACTATGCAGGAATAATCTGCTTTTAGAATATATGGCTGAGAAACACACACATAGGAGTTAATTACCACTCAGTGCACACATGAAACTTGGCCACACACACACACATTGGGCAAACAGAGCCCTTAACAATGCCCCTGAATAAAGGATTTTTTTCATGGGGAGTTTTACTCAAAAGAAACATGTTTACAGATTTTTATGCCTTCAAAACATGTGCAGGGATGATGCTACAATATATGGCAACTAGTCCTTTGCATCTGGGTGAGTTTCACACATCAGCGCCCACCATGGTTATTCTCACTTCTTTTTTTAATGGAATCAAGTGCCTTGTCTACTAAATAAGGGTTTTCTAATTTTATGTTATTTATTGCTTCAGAGGGGGAGGGGGAAGTTTTTCCTAGCAGAGTAAAAATAAATTGGACACCATCAGTCAGAAAAAATACCAGCATTAACTGATGGAAAATATTTCATTTAATGTCAAATGACAGTATTGCAAGAAATTACTGAAATAATTAATAATGGTTGACAACATAGTGCTATTAATTTCAAAAAGAAATAAACTAAACATTTAATACAAATAAATACAACACACAGCATAAAACAAAGCTTTTGATATGAAATATTTCTTCAAAATAAAGTAAGATACATTTGGCAATGCTGCTAACAGTGCAGCAAAAACTGAGTTTTACAAAGTTTTAGTGCATATTTAAATATGTATAAAAAGCCTTCATTGAAAAAAATCAATGTACCCAAAAGAGGAATTTTCCAATTCTTACTCATGTTGGTGAGTTTTACTCACAAGTATTTCAACTGAAGACAATTTACTTGCAGGGGTATCTGTTCAATATAAACAAAGGTTGCAAAATGTAGTCCAAAGTGAATATGCCACAACAGGAAAATACAAAAAATGTGTGTTTTCATGTAGACCTGAGTAGGATTCTGTCAGAGTGATCACATGCTACATACAGAATACTGTCTGTCTTTTTACTTATAAGAAAATAAAAATGGCTAACACAAAACCTTCTGTTTTGGTCAAGCTTATTTCACTTTAAGTCCCAGAGTACTAACAACTTTGGACTTCACTCGCCCACCTTTGCCCATGATGAGCAGTTCTACTGATTTCAATGGGACTGCACAGAAGTGGCAGGGACCCAAAGCCCATTGAAGTCAATGGGAATCTTTCCAAGATTAAAATTTTAGTCAGCATGAGAAAGGTAGCAGAATCCAGGACTTAGATTCTCTATTTCAAAATGCATCTGTAAATGCTATTTTGGGGAAATATGAAAGTCAAAATTCTGGCTTTAACTGCGCAGCAGCCCAGTCCTGTGAACTGGTGGCTATTTAAGACTTGTTAACCTTTGTAAGAGCCGGTGATGCCAGATTCCTTGCAGAATTACATTTTACATTATATGGCTCATCTTGCCAGGAGTATGGGGGAATTGTATATGTTTATCTATGTTTCACGTTTTATTTTTCAATGATTTTCTTATACTGAAATTAAGGTTACCATTTCAGTATAAATCCCATTCAAATCAATTGTTTGCATATAATATTCCGAAGGTGACCCCTATATCTGAAGTTAAATGATGACTAAATTTCATAACAGTCAGGCTCAAAGGCAACATTTGTCTTTCCACTTGCACTTGAACTTTTCACTGCTCTTTTCTTCTTCGTCTTCTTCAGTTCTACCTCATGGGCTCTAGGTTTGTTTTCAACACTATCAGTGGTAATTGATGATGTAGGGGTGTCAAATGCAATTACATTTTGCTGATTTTCTGTTTCATTCTTCAGTATTCTTTTCTTCTTCTTCGTACCTCTATTTGGGGACAGGGGAGAGAAGGAGGATAAGAAACATACAGAATTAGCCAACATTTAGAGCTTTTTCTACCCACAGCTGACATGCTAAAACAATGCTACACACATTTATTGCCTTTCCCCCTCTAGTATGGTTTTGAAACTGTTATAAGTACTACTGTGCTACTGCAGAACCAAAACAGACAAAAGCATTAGAACCAAATATGGTAGAATCTATTACAAATCCAATGGTTTGCTTTGCAACATATGCTCTAGCAGTCCTGTCTGGTGACAGCTGCACACGATTTTTAAAATCAACTACTAGAGCCTCAAGTAATCAATAAGTTTAATTATTTTAAAAGTGTTAAATTACCAATCCTCTGGCTCCCTCTAAAAAGTCATTACAGAATATTTTTCATCCTACAAGTTTGATTTCCACAATATTTCAGTTGAAAAGAGATTTCTGGTTTATTTATTTATTCACCCACTCTACAAAAATCATGCACAATGGAGTAACTCACTGGATCATTTAAAGTATCTGAACTATGATGTGTTTACAGAAATGCAAGCTGTTTTCATTTCATTTCCACTAATATACTGGGCACCTCACATAAGCACCAAACACAATGAATTAAGCCCGTTTCCTTATGTACCCTCCCCAACTGCTGCCACCCAATTATGGATTGTGCTGGCCATCTGCAGACCCCCAATGGAGCAGGGATTTGTGTGCACTGTTGTGCTGCAATCCTCGATAAGGCTAAGTCATGGATTTGCTGTTTTGGGCAGAAGCTGATGTAACCTTACTTAAATCATGACTTAGCTTGGACTGTAAGCTCTTTGGGTCAGGGACTATCTCTTTCAGCTGTGTTTGCATAGTGCTCAGCACTATGGGGTCTGGGTCCATGACTGGGTCTCTAAGTGCTACCACAATACATAGGAATAAATAGTGTGGATGTCTGAAATCCAAAGCATGTGATGAGCTTCATGGAGCTACCCTGGAAGTTGCAAGGCAGAACAATAGCCGATGTTGGTAATTCTGCTCCTGTGCAATAAGCACTCTTGCTAACAAACTGAAGGCTATTCTGTAAACTCTTAACCCCCCCCCCCCCCGGAATGTGCTGGCAATGCAGCTCCAAGCAGAGGCACTGACTTTTGTTTTCGCAGGTGGGTGCTTTATGCCTTCCAGTTTCACTGTGCACCCTGTATATGCTCCTATCACCTACTGCTGGCTTATGGGTGCTGAACACCCCTTTTTTCAGTGGGTGCTTGAGCCCCAGAGCACCCATCAAGTTAGCGCCTCTGCCTCTCAGCATGAAATGTTTGACAGCAGTGCCCGCTGGAGCACCTTTATGCTCCTTCCTGCCCCTACCCTCACTGTTTCTGAATGTTCTGAGTGGGAGGCTATAAAAAAGGGGCAAGACATTCTGGCCACCACAACTCTTTCCACCACCTCTTCCTGAAATCCATGATTACATGAGGGCTTGATGGAAAACAGGATGGTGGGCAGGGAGCATGGGCATGCAGGGTCCATCTTTAAAATCTCCCGTTCCAGGTGAAAGGCCTTCATTTTTCATCTTCTTCAAGTGTACAGACCCACTCAAGGAATCATTTGATATGCTATTCTGACATGTGAGGAAGGTGGGACATGGAATCCTAATTAAACAATGACCGAAGAACCATTTGATCACAGTGAGCATCTGAAGGGGAAGCTAGGTCTACGGAATCATGTTTTGTAAGCATGTGTACAAAGCTCCATATCTTCACACTCCGACCCTTGAGAGCTGAAATTGAAGTCATTGTGACCAACAGTTTATGAAACTGAATGGTATCTTCTGATTGTGAAGATGCTGAAGCAACTTCTCCATTATCATCAGGAGAGGTCTCATCATCAGGCTCTGGATGTGTGTTCTGGAATTCCATGGGTCCCTCTGGTTCTTCCTCTGAAAGTGTTTCTGGGACTACGGATGGGAAGTGGTCTCCATAGTCCAGTGATGTAGATTGATATGTAGTGATGCAGTTTCAATGTATGACACTTTCTTCTGAGCCCTAGGAAGGGACTGATCCCTGTAAGGTGTGTGTTGAACACCCTCATAACATCTAAGTGAGAATCATCGGCAGAAGGAGGGAATTGCCAGTCCTGCCAATATTCTGTATCAGGTTTCCTATCATAGTACCTACTGGGGTAAGGGCACGGTCGGTGTTTTTGTGAACTGTGTAGAGCTTCTATGTAGCATTTGCTCTGATAGGCTTTCTTGGGAAAAGAAATGGTAATTTAGCTTGTCTTTCACAGTCTAATTCACTGTTAGATTGGGGATCTGATCTCTGTTGATGACACCAAGGAGTCAGTTCCAAAATCCAGAACCATTATGGCTGTGGCATTAGAGGCATGACTCTTTTGTAGGCATTTGCACTGTGCCACAGCCTTAATTTCTGGCCCAGGGTGAGGGTCCAGGAGGGATATGAAATTGTGCGCTGCCTTGCTAACAGGTGCCATATCTCGCACCACAAAGTTATCTGGAACAAAGCTGCTGGATGTGAAGAGGTGCTCCCACTTGGATTTGCTCTGCTAACACAGGCTGATACACGTGATTCCACTGTGTCTTGAAGTATGATCTGATGGCTTAGGATTCTTTGGTACCCAAGGTTTTGCTTTCATTCCAGGAACAGAGGATAGTACCTTTAGCTGGATCTTGGGCTTTCTATTCCCTGAGGAGCTAGGGGATGACATGGGTATCTCTGTACTCACAGAGGTGATTAGGGTTTGGCTGCTAGTGCGTCCTGAAGTACTAAGGCTTAGTACTGCTTTTGATGCTCTTTGTGAGCTCTTGGGATGAAGGTGCTGCAGACTGTGTACTCTGCAGGACAGCCAAGTGAGTCAGCCACCTACATAGGCATCCAAAGTGGGAATACAGCAGGACAAAGGTACAACTCTTAATTACTGGTCTCTTCCTCTTCAGATCTGCTCCTGAAGCCTGAACTGAGGTGTCAGAACTAACAAAACAAATAAAACACTTGTAAGGAAAAACAAATGAGTTTAATTTCTGTTAATCCTAACTAGGAAATCTAAGTCACTGGGTCTTCAAAGAAGTAGAATCAATCTGGAGAGGTTCTTGGTCTTTCTGCTGCTGTGTTTGGAAGGAATTGAGATAGTCAAAATGGCTTTTATAGCCTCCCTCTCAAAATATTCAGGTATAGCGAGGGCTGGGGCAGGAAAGTGCTCCAGAGGAAATTGTTGTGAAATGTTCCACCATGAGGAGCTGTACTCCAGTGCATCCTATGAGTAGGAATACGCAAAGACTAGTTGAAGACCAAGTAGAAATTCATAAAGGACATTATCCCTCCATATGGTCTTAATAAGATAGGCACTGCTATCTTAAGACATCATGAATTAGTGGCCTCCAGTCCAGATAACGTATTTTCAAGGATTCTGACCCTTCGTTCAATTTCATGAATCCTGCTTAAAACTGCCCATGTTTTTCTCTCTCATGACTGAACTCTTGTCTACGATGTGACATTTTTTACAGCATATCTTTGCAATCTCTTGGCTGCTATCTTTGCACACACAACTGGCTCCTATCCTGTTTCTTTCAAGATGGCATGGGAGCACGAGAAGAATGTTGTTTTAAGCTCAAAAGCAGCTCTGTCAGACAAGGCAAAACAACAGAAAGAAAATTAAAGGTTTAAAAAACCCTAATGTGTTCCTGAGAAAAGAGCACCGAACAAAACTTGCCTGCCCATCTATTGATTTAATCCCCTTCCCTTTTAAATTAGCTACTTCCTGACAAAGGTGCAGTAGCAGACTTTGAGCCAGACTCTCTCCTACTACCAGGTTCAAGTGGCCTCAGCATCCTCAAAGCCTGATATCTAAACCTCTCTGCAGCACTGCTGCCTGCCCAAACAGGAGAGTAATGACATAAAGCAAGGCCTTCAGTCCCTCCTATGTTTAGAGTGGCATCTCTGTGACACTCTTGCTCCCTGCTGTGCTGGTGTTAGAAATTAAATTCTGATGACTCAAATATCCATTTCTTTCTGAACTATAGATGAAAGGTTTCTTAGGCTCTTTCTTTCCCAGATATGATCCAGCAACCAGATGGACCTATTCTCATGACTAAAATGTGTTTAATTAAGTAAATATGTAACACTGAATATTTCAGTGGTTACACGGTTACATACAGCAGCAGGGGGGCGGAGAAGTGGGGGAGAAGAGGGAGGGGCAGGCAGGAGCCGGTGTGTGCGGGGAATCAGCTCTTAAGCTGGCCCCCCGCACATACTGAGAGCCTGGGTGTAACCATGAAGGGGTTGGTTAACCATGTACATGGTTACGTTTTCACATCCCTACTCATGACACATTTACTTCTCATTTTAATGAACATTTTATACCCAGTAATATTCCCCCCATATCTAAATTAGATCATATTCTTTGTAGATTCCATATTTTATAAACCCCTGGTCCAATACGCCTCAAAACACTAAAAATCACTTTTTGATGAAGTTTTAATTATACAATCCTGTCTTAGTGTGGTCCAAGTCCTGTCTTTAATAAATGTAACAAGTTTGTGTGTACTCATACTAAACCATGGATTTTCTTCTTAAACACAATCCAGTTAATACAGTATGCTCAAACTGCAACCTCATATTGTATCGGCTAACAAAGTTTATGACAAAAAACATAAGTATTTTCTAGGTATTCTTCAAAAATAAATGAATGCAAATACTTCAAATAATGGTTAGGGTAAGATTAAGATGACATGAGAAATCAAGCATTTAAGCATCCACATGGAAGATCTTATGCAAAATGTTTAGATCTTATTTATTTCAAAGTTTCACATTCTATGGAGACATATATATGTACACACACATATATGTATATACACACATTTAAAATGCAAATGTAGTAATGAAAGATGCTGGCTTGTTTGTCTTCCTTACATGTGACAAACTTGTTCAATTTACATTAATTAATTCTTAGAAGGTGCAAAAAGTAGTTGGCAGCTCATAACAATATGGGTTAATCAAAAGAGCTGAGGGACGTTGTATGGCAATCCTGCACCTCGGGATTACAGTTCAATTCCCTTACTCTGTACTCCTTACAGTATCTCTGTAACACACCTATTGAAAAAAGTACAACAAACCATTATTTCCTTTTCACTTTATTTTTCTTAAACACTTCTCTAGACCAATTATCCTAAATTTAACTTCCTGTTTTGCTGTCTTGCTTAAAAGAACAAAACAACCCCTCCCCAACACCCCACAAAATATCTCAGTTTCCTAAGAGCAGTTGTAGAAGTAACACTGCAAATTGCTTTGAATGATTTGTTGCTTACTGTGTCACAGGTGAGTCTATATCTGTGTCATGCTCTGAGATAAATTTCAGGTCCCCTGACTTGGTGATGACTGCTGACATCTGCAAAAGAAAACAAGAAGAAATGTAGAAAGAAGAAAGACAATGGGGCTAACACATGTACATTGAAAAGCCACCAGCTTCCTGAATAAGGAGAGAATATACCCAGTCTGAAAAAAAGATTGTCTATCAGGCATAAAGTGTTCACTCCTATGTGGTTAAAAACAAGGAAACAGCCCCCTGCTTCAACTACTCCTTGCAAACAAAGACAATTTTCAGGTGTGCGGCAAAAAACAACTGGTTATGAATCTTTGCATGAATGAATCTTAAAATGCACACAGTCTATAGGGGATTAAGTTTATTTCAGTTACTGAATTACTAATTAAAGAATGCCAAAGAGTCATCCGATTCATAGCTTTAACTACTACAAAAGCAGTCTGCCTCATTTTGTTAATCTAGCCTTGCAGATTTCATTCAAAGTGCTTCAAATCTCTTTGAGTTTGTTTGGAATTTAGGGTTTGTACAGACTCAAAACTTAGTGAATGTATACAAAATTCTCTAGTTTCCTGTGAAACCAGTGAGTTTGAGCCTAGTTTGCACTCCACATCCATAGACCTCCTCTAATCCTGAGGACTGAGACCCTCCCTTACCACAAGCAGTGGGAAGGAATGGCTCAATGGCCTGCAACTTCTTCTACCCAAGGTTTGAAGTCTTTCACAACAGAGGGCTCTACTGCTCTTCCTCCTGGGGTATGTCTAGACTATATGCCTCTGCCTACAGAGGCATGCAAATTAGACATACCGACATAGTCAAGGAAGCGGGGATTTAAATATCCCCCGCTTCATTCGAATAAAAATGGCCGCCGCATTGTGCTGGCTCAACTGTTTGTCGGCGCACACCGGCAGTCAAGATGGGGATTGGTCAACAAGAAAAGCCTTTGCCGACTGATCCCTTATGCCTTATGAAACCCCCTGCCACTCTGCGGTGCTGCCTCTGTATCAGAGGTAGCAGTGTGGGGTGCCAGGCAGGAGCTGGTCTGTGAGGGGAGCCAGTTTAAAATTCAGCTCCCCACACGGGACCTGGTGCAAGCTGGAACTGAGCTGGGTTGCCTGCTTGCCAAGCTCCTAATACACTTTAAATGCAGAGCTGCAGCGGGAATAGGTCCTGGACCCCGCATGAGCCAGGACTGAGCAGGGCTGCCTACCTGCCTGCCTCCTAATACACTTTAAATGTAGAGAGGCAGCAGGGGTATGTCCCAGACCCGTCACAAGCTAGTACTGAGCTGGGCTGCTCACCAGCCTGCTAAAAAATTTACTGGCAAGGTGTGGAAGGGACATGCGTGTAGTCTATAGCATTAACCTATAAGCTTTAGCTTATCGGTTAATTGATTAATTGACTACACTATCACATCCCTATTGTGAGCCCAAATCAATAGCACAACATATTGACATTTCATCTGAGTTTCCCACCAATTGCAGCCTAACATCTCAATCTGACGCAGAAAGGCTCTATCGAGTCAAATTTTTTTGTTATTGTTGACTCCATCAAATCTGGTCTTACATGTCGATTTGAGTGTCTGCATCAAATTTGTACCCTTTTTGGATTCCTTTCAGAGTTCAGAGAATTAAGTGATGAAGATCTATATCCAGCAGCAGAACAGTTTCAACAAAGGTACAACAATGAAATTTCAAGAGATCTCTTTGATGATATCTTCTTCCAGAAACGTATCCATTCCACCAAGCCAAAAGAATTGCTTCAAGAAATATTTGATCTCGGCCTGTCAACTGTATTTCCTAATATCACAATTGCATTACGTATTTTTGCCAGTATCCCTGTATCAGTGGCTTCAGGTGAATGCACATTCAACATGTTAAAACAAGTAAAGAACTATCAGCATTCTTCAATGGGACAAGAGCGTTTGAATGGGCTTGCAATGTTTAACATTAACAGTGATGTTGCACATAAATTAGATTTTTCTTCAATTATAAATGAGTTTGCACACAACAAAGCCAGAAAAGCATTCCAAAAATGAAGAGTTTTGCTTGTAGTGGAAACTCAGAATTAAAGTTACATTTTTAATATACATGCCATTGGTATAATGACTTAATTGTTGATAAATAAATGTCTCAAGTGTTCATTTTAATGTATTCTTTTGGTTTTAGTATGAAAAGTTTGATATGTCGGGGATATGGGGCTGGACTGGGGCCTCTAAACTCAAAGTGGCCCAGGCTTCTGTCACTTTGAGAGGGCTTGTGTACACATATTAGTTCTGATCAACCTTGTGTGCGAAAAATAGCAGCATTACTGTAGTAGCAAGGGCAGCAACTTAGGCCACATACTTAGGGTTTCAGAGGACAGCTAGCTCAAGCCCCACAGCCACACTGCTACTTATTCAATGTAATCAAGTTACTTCTCAATCTTATTTCTGATAAACTAAACAGACTGAGCTCCTTTAAGTCTCCCACTATGAGGCATTTTCTCTATGATACGTGTTGTCTGAATGGTTCCAATTTACCTGAAATGTAATCCAGGTAACTATAATTGTGCTGTCCTCTGCAAATCCCTGTGTCTTCCACAAAATTTACCAGCAGGGATAATAAAGCTTTCTATCAATTATCTTGAAGTCCTTCAGAAACATTAATGAATTAAGCCTCAACTCACTAGTCAAGTATTATCTTTCATATTCTGAAGCTGGGAAAACCCAGCATGGATGTTAAATGACTTGCCTCATGGTAAGTCTGGCAGATCTCCTGGGTTCCAATCCAGTGAAATTACTAGAACATGCTTCCTATAACACTAATTAAATCTAAGTAAACAACTCTAGTCTCTACTAGGGGATGTGTAAAACCCTAATTCTATGGCTTGATTCTGCTCCCTCCAAGTAAATGAAACTTTTATCATCAACTTAAAGGGGAGCAGTATCAAGTCCCTAATGGCCAAGGAATTAATGCATGCACATTGCTAACAAAAGCCACATTGAAACATGAGCCATCATCACACACGACTTGTGAAGAGGTTCTAACAGTTTCTTTGGCTGGTGCAGATAGGATAAGAGCATTAGAAAACACCCTACCCAGTCAGTGTATTAATGTGTAAGAGTATTGGTTATGACACTAAAAAATCTCTCTATGTTAAATTAACACATAAATCTACATTAACATAACATAAAATTTGGGACTGTACACAAAAGGAGGAAACATACTGTCACTCTTTGATAACAACATACAATGGCGTGCATTAAAGGGAGTGCAACTGAGTGATTACTACATTTTTCAGTGTTCACACCCTCCTGATGTTTATTTTTTCCTTTTTACACTCCCTTTTCTTGTAATCAGAACTATGTCAGGTCATTCTCTTGGAGTTTTTTACATGAAAGAAATTAAGGCTTTTCATCTTTCATATTTTCAAAAAAGGTAAATAAAAACAACAGTGTTTAATAACAGAATCTTTCTCCTAATTCTGCTAATACTGCAATCACACAGCTAGCTTTACAAGACAGGAGAACCTGACTAAACTGTACTGAAGCAAAATGCAAACCTAGTCTAAAAATGGGCTGTTGAATTTTTCAGAATGAAGCATAGCCAAATAAAATTCTGCCAGAGTCACGTCTAGTATTGGTAATAGCCAGGGCTCGACAATCTATGTAATCTACTCGCCCGTGGCGAGTAGATTACATTCTGAAAGAGCCGGGTCTGGGCGATCTGCGCATGCGCAGAACAATCTGCGCATGCACAGAACGCCGGACAGTGTGGCTGGCGAGCAGGGCTCGCCGCGGCTCGGCAAGCCCTGCTAATATCTAATTCTCCTTGAGATATGGGGCAATACTTACATCCCCATATTCATGGTGTATGTGTATGTATGTATATATATACATATATCTCTTGTCAAACCAATCTGATAGCTTTCTTTGATAGAATAACAAGCCTTGTGGATAAGGGAGAAGTGGTAGATGTGATTATCCTTAATGATGATAGGACAAGCAATAGGCTCAAATTGCAGCAAGGGAGGTTTAGGATGGACATTAGGAAAAAAACTCTTAACTGTCAGGGTGGTTAAGCACTGAAACAAATTGCTTAGGGAGGGTGTGAAATCTGTCATAGGAGTTTTTTAAGAGCAAGTTAGATAAACACCTCTCAGGGATGATGTAGATGGCGCTCAGTCCAACTGTGAAGGCAGGGAATTGGACCAGATGACCTCTCAAGGTCCCGTTCTAGTATTCTATGAATCTATGATTCTGTCTGATGCAGCATTCTTCATATTTTTAAAATAATATTTTTGTTAAACTTAAAAGCTGAGTAATCTGTAACTTGTTCTCCATGGGCAAGGATTCTGTGCTGGGAAAAACCAGTTGACGATATATATAAAAAACCCCAACCAAATAAATCCAGTGATAGTTAAATACATTTACAGGCAACAAAAATGTCTGTTCTCTCTGGATGGATCTCAGTATCATTCCCTTCGAAAAGTCAGATTATTTTTTCAAGAACAAGGAAACTTCTGTCAAGAACTGAATTTGCTGAGGTGTGTCTGTTCTATATGTCTAGTAGTAATTTGTGTGTATGACCACGCAGCAGCTTTGCAGATCTATTCCAGGGAAACACAATCTCTGTCAGTCTAGGATGGTTAAAAAATATAAAAAGTGGCCAGTGGGCTGGACACAATTTGCCAAGGTTCGCTGCTGGCAGGCCGCCAAGCTCCCGTTGGCTGTGGATCACCATTCCTGGCCTATGGGAGCTGTGGGAAGTAGTGCGGATAGGGACACCATTTCAAGCAGCTCCCTTTGGCCGGGAACAGTGATCTGCGGCTAATGGGAGCTACAAGCAGCCATGCCTGTGGATGCACTGGTAAATAAAGTGTGTGGCAGCCAGCCAGTGGCAAACCTTTTCTGGCCACAAGCCACTTATTGCCTGCCCCTGATCTAAGAGATAGTATTGCTTCAAGAATAAAACTTTAAGTATACTGGATAAGGTGGGCCATTGCATTATAAACATTACTGAAACACATTTTAATCTGATCAGATAAACACATCTTTGTGGTGCTTCAGCCTATTCTTAGCCTCTTCA